TATGATGGAGAAAGAGAACCACCCTCTTTTCCTCAAAGAATAGCATTCATTTATTATTAAATGGAAGTGCTAGAATTGTCAGTGGTCCAAAAAAAAAAAGCAGAAGAGTTCAATGTATACTTTTGTTCTGTATTTTAAGAAAATAATGGTTGTGGTGCTGAGGTGGTATGATGTGAGGATGAGATGCATTCTGTATCTGTTGTACTTCAGGTGGATGTTAATTAGCAGCTCCAGAACTCTTGCATTATAAGTGGGGCTAGAGTGTTTTAGTCATGATGGTTCAGGAAATAGTTGAGAATATTTACTGAAGTGGAAAGTGGCAGGATTTCTGCTGGTCTCACAGAGATGAAAGAACTATCAAGAAGCCAGTAATCAAGCTGCTTGGCTCTAAGCACAATGTTGGGCATTTGTGGCATGACAAGGGACATGGATGACTGTTTGCTTGGGTTTTGCATTGCCAGAAAGATGTTTATGGTGACACAAAGGCAACATCTGTTTGCAGCCTGAGATTTCAGCGTATCCCTGTGGCCACAGGGTTAATGTGGTCCTTGCATGTATGAACATGGGAATGCTAAGTAAAACTATGGAAGATTACATTATCCTTCTATCTGGCGCACACGCAACAATTATTAGCAGTCTTTGTCCAGGTCCAGTGCTAGCAATTTAAAGGGTGTTGAGTTGGAAAATATTCAAAAAACAGACACAAGGATAAGCAAAGGTTTGGGAAAATGCTTTATAGTGAAGGAGCTCAATCAGCTTAATTTAACAAAAAGAAAGTTAAAAGGTGACTTGATTACAGTTTAAATATTTACACAGGAAACCATAACTTCATAGTAGAGGGTTTTTCAAACTTTCAGACCATGGTATAATAAGATCCAGTGTCCAGAATTTGAAGGCAACCAAATTTAGATTAGAAGTAGAGCACAATGTTTTAATAATGAAGATAATTGAAGATTGTGCTCGATTCAGAACCTTTAATCTAGGAATCTTGATTAACTGACAGATTGTGCCAATAATTCCAATTAGCCATTTAATAAATACCTTTTTCTAAAGATGGTAGTTTGCAAATAAAATGCAGTTTTTAAACAATACAACAGAAAAACATAAAGATAAACCAAATGAAAAATACGACCATATAATTAATTTTATTTTCTAAATTAATCATTTCAGGTTACAGACTTTAGACAATAAATATTCACAGGCAAAAGAATATCAACCAACAGTTAAGGTTGAAATGCTTTATTCCCTCAGCCAAAATACTTTTATGAAAATGTGGTCTTCCCAAAAGAAAATAAAAGAAAGTTTAGGTTTTACTCAGCAAAAACATAGCTGATCAGGTGCAGTCAGATCATTCAGACAACTTTAATTTTTTCCCCATATTGTTGTTAATCCTGTCTTCCCTTCATTCTCTACTTTTAATATCTTTGGAAATAATTAGTTTGGTTTCCATGCTCTTTTTTTCTTCTGGAGCAGCCCCTGGGAATCTCTGAAGCCCGTCTCTGTAAGCAGGGAAACCCTGACATTCTTTGCTTATTGAGACATGTCCCAGAGATTCCCTGGGGGTGGTCTTCAGGAGTTCTTTGCAACAAAATAATTGTGCTATTTCTTTTCCATAGTCAAGAAGTGAGTCAAAGCTAAGAGCTAGCATTGTCCAAAGGGTGCCTTGATCCTAACAAGGGGTGCATTGGATCTAAAAAGGCTGAGTGTAGTGCATGGTGACAAAATTGCTGATTTACTTAAGCAGAATCTATCTCAGATGAAAAAAATATTGTGTTGAACATCTTATTTTTACTGCAGAGCTGGAGAAATGGAAATGCATATTGTTAAGATAGGACTTTCTAAAATGTGTTACTTTTAACCAAGTTCCATTTGCTAAAGACATATAGATAGAAATGTCCAGATGTTTTTCACTGTCCCCAAATGGATCACTCTTCTGGGAAAAGTATATTCTGCTAAAAACATCTATCCTCAGTTCCTGTGGGCAGCCCTCCCTTGGGTTTGTCTCATATTATCTCACTGGAAATTAACTAAACTGATTGCTCCAAGATCAATGGATGATGGCTTTGTTAGTGCTATGCTACTGTTACCATCAATAGTAAAGAAAGGGGTTGGGTTCAGTTGGTACAGAAACATCTAGATAGGGCTTAAAGATACAGCATGTGCCTTAAGATACTAGCACCTCACCATGTGGGGAAAACCTGGTGAGGTGGTCAGGAAGGCTTCTGTCTCAATGTGATTAATATAGTCCAGATCCAGCCCCACATTTTCTGGTCAGCAGCTAATGGGTGTACTCCCCTTCCTGTCAGTAGGAGTGACCTATTGGGAAGTGTGTTTCCTCCTGTTCTACCTGGAGATACAGGAGTTAGTAGAGAGCACCAAGGACACTTTCCCATAGGTAACCTAAGATGGAAACAAATTGAAGGGCCTCTTGGGGCAAAAGCAATCTCACTGTTGCCTATCCATTTTTTTCAATGCCTTTTAAATGCAAGGTCACCTGTAGGGGCAAGGGCCAAGGCCAGAATGTAGGGCTTTCTCCCTCCCAGAGCAGTGCTCATCTCAGTCCTTAGGCTTTCTCTGGCTTTGTCTTATTCAGGCTTCACCTGTCTTTCCGTATTTGCTGTTTGGCCCCATTGCATGGAGGAAGGTGGAGAAAGCTTGACTGCAGCTCAGTGTGCTCTTTACCTATGCTTAGCAATCATGTGGTTTCTTAGGACTTCCTTAGCTGGCGGAAGTTAGTTCCATCTATGTAGCTGATGGAAATTTAAGCTGCCCCTAGGTTGTTCTAACTTGTGCTTAGAGTCAAGCAGTATGATTACTGGCTACTTGATAGCTCTTCCTTCTCAGAGGCCAGCATAAATCCTGCCACTTTCCACTTCAGTAATCATTCTCTGCTAATTTAGCACCTACCCCCATAGTTGAAATGGGTCAGGTATGATAACTATCCCACACTTCTAGCACACATCTTCTACATCAGAGCACCTCACAGATGTTAGTAATGAAACATTTTTGACAAGCTTATCAGAAAAGGTTGCAGATAAGTAGAACTGGATGGCAGTAACTGTTAATGCACACTTGAATCAGTTGCACAAATAGTATTCAAGAGTTTGTTTTAAAGTGTTTTACAGCTTTGCTCTGTGTTTTTCAGATATCAATGAATGTGAAGAATCTCAACTGTGTTTGCCTCATGGGGAATGCATAAATACAGACGGTTCTTTCCACTGCACTTGTGAGCAGGGCTTTTCAGTATCTACAGATGGCCGAACATGTGAAGGTGAGATGGGTACTGGAAGCAATAGTAAAATAAACTGCACCATTTGTTTCCATTCATTCAATGTTACTAGTTGGCCAAATAAATTGGTCATAATTCAGCTCTAGTATTCCAAAACCAACATTAACCCAACAATAATACACATAAAATGCATCGTGCTTTCTATTCATGTTTCTGGTAAATTGATAGGTTAATGTATTACTGTTTATGTTATGAAATGTATGCCTGGGGAAATGCTTGTTAGAAACGTCAATTTTTGCTTTTCTTTACTTTTGGAGACTTTAACTATGCCACCTTAAAACAGTGTTATATTTTATAAGTTAAAATGAAATGTCTGAAGATTTTATGGAAAAAAGGAAAAATGTGAGATGGAAGGAGACAGACAGGATGAAATAAAACAAATGAAAATAAGTGGCTAAGAAGTAAAAAGACACATAGTTGCAATGTGAGGAAACTTTATTCATAAATGGAAAATGCCCCCTTTCTTTTAATGTCCCATAATGAGGCCGGAAGGAAGGAACTAGGTATAAAACATATGTAGAAAAAGTATGGTTCTCCTGGCAAATTTTAAACTTGGCCCATACTGCTGCAGGGTATTAGGCATCCTTAATCTGGAGCCTTTTAAAGTCATTACCAATAAAATCTTAACTGGTCTAGCATTCTTATTTCTGTCTTTGAAAAAATACAACCTTGTTTGTGATATTATTTAAAAATGAAGATGTGAATTAAATATCCATGCAATAGAACTAAATCAAACAGGAACTCATGGTTAATTTCTGTATGTGTATGGTTATTATAAACTCCTATCACAGCATATTAACCACTTCTAAATTTCTTGTCAGGACTACAAATAAATAAGTTTTCAAATTAGTTTTTTGCACTGCTTAGGTATAGTCGGACACCAAACATGCACACTCGCTTGTGTAGATCTTTTTCATAAATGGCTGTCAAAGCAGTTCCAGTAATAATACTGATGAGAAACATCAGCCACAAGCCTGGAAAGTTTGCAAATAAGGTGTACATGGGGTTTTTATTTGACTTCAAAATGAGAAAGTGTCTTGTTGGTGATTGAAAGCACACACTTACCCAGTGGTGCCGATTAAGCCTGTGTGAAGCTGCTAATAACTCGCTTTGCATTCAACTGATTTGGGGGACAGTGATTTGATTAGGTGATTCAAATCACTGTCCCAAATCAATTCAGCCAAATCCGATTTGGAGATTCGGCTACTGCCAAATTGGCCGAATCTCCAGATCAAACAGGCCCCATCCCTCCCCCGCTCTCCGAGCCTCATCAATGGCTGCCCTGCCGAGCCCCAGCATCCTAGCTCTTTAAATAAATAAATCAAGCCCCGCACTCACCGGCTCCTGTCAGGTTGGGGGGGGCAATCCCTGCTGCTCCCCACTGCCCCACGCTATGTGGGGGGCTCTGCCATGAACTCCCATCCCCCGCTCGCTCTCCCAGCACTCACTGGTTGCTGTCAGGCAGGGGGGCAATCCCTGCTGCCCCCCACTGCCCTGCACTGCATGGGGGCATTCTGCCATGAGCCCCCAAAAGACCCGATGGCCGCTGCAGCATCCAGTGAGTACAGGGCTTTTTTTTTTTTTTTTTTTTAAAGAGCTGGGATGCTGGGTCCAGAGGGGGCAGCCATTGATGGGGCTGGGAGAGTGGCCAGTTCAGGGTGGGTGATTAACACTGCTAAATGCAAGTGCCATTTAGCTTGCCTAATTAGACCATCCCTTCCACTACTCGGACACTGCTACATTACTGCAGGTTTAAGAGGCAGCTTGCTCGAAACAGCTTAGCATACTTGAAGGCTCCACTCTGGAACACAGCAAATTTCCCACGTAGACATGGCCTTAGTACAGGAAACTAGTAGAGACAGACTTAAACCATGTAAATCAGGGGTGGGCAGTTATTTCGGGCAGAGGGCCGCTTACTGAGTTTTGGCAAACTAGTGAGAGCCGCATGAAAGGCAGCCAGGGGCAGATCAATATTAATTTTCTAAATTTTTTAGGGGCCCCGTGGGCCGGATAGACTGGCCTGGCGGGCCGCATCTAGCCCGCGGGCCGGATTTTGCCCACCCCTGATGTAAATCCTAGGTAAGCTATTACAACTCCCAGAGTCTGGGGTTGCCAGCCAATGAATCAGGAAAGCTTGGTTTGCATGGGGCTATCTGTTTGCAAAAGTCAGGGTAAAAGACAGTCTCTGCAGTGCTGAAGCAATTTAGAGAGTGCTGTATTCACTTCCCCAATACTATGAAAGATTTATTTTTGTCTAATATGCATCTGCTATAGTAGCTATAATACAGTACCTGTTCTAGTAATTGCTAATAAAGTGAAGTAAACTGCTGGTAATGGGATACTAGAGTATTACCAGAAAGAGATGGGATCTTAATGTTTAGATTTGTTATGGCACCAAATATATTGTTTTTGCTCATGAATTAATAATAGTAAGAGAATGATTTTTCAATACACACTGCCATGAGGATAGTATTTTAGGAAGGGAAGAAGCAATGAATTGAGAAACTTCTAGTGATTGAAAAGGTAGCTTTTTTCTGATCCCAAACACTGAGAATACGTTGAAGTTTTTTTCAGAATCAGATTTCTAAAATGATTTATACAGATCTGTACCAGGATATAAAGGTTCCATGCCACTGTTTAGCAAGGATAGGGTTAAAAGTCTCTGAATTTGAGAGCCAAAAGCAGGTGTTTTTCCTCAGAATATAGCTTAGTGAAGGAGGAATGTGCTGGTAGCTGAAACCAAGCATTCTTTTCCATACAAAAAAGAAAACCAACACAACACATTTTTTTTAATTAAAGCCCACTAAGTTAAAGGAACATTGGTATAGTTGCAAAGCTAAGTCTTCTAAAAATTGAGAAATACCAGCATTAAACAAAAACTTCAGCTAAACAGAAAGAGTAACTTCTGGTTTTAGGCAGCCCACCAAAATCAGAGAGCCACTGTCCCTTCATCCATACTGGCGAAATAACTAGTTCTGTGCTAGTACACAGATGTGCTAACATCATTGATGAGGAGAAGGGGAATGAAGTGCCACAAAGTTAATCTTCATAAGAAACAAGAAGGCAGACATATTTTTACCATTCTACAAAAGTACACAATCAAAAGAGGATTTCTTTTCAGGTTTTATAAACCATAGAGGGTAAATAACATGTATAAAACTAATTGACTAGGCTTCATACATAATGTGTTGTATGTATGGGATACAGACCAGACTATATATTAATCCATGAGAAAAATGTGTTAATAATTGGGCTAAGCAAAGCAATTTATAATCTTCTGAACCAGTTGTAATCTTTTTCTATCACAACTGGCTGCTCTATCCAATTAATTCAATTTTTCTTAAAAAAAATTTTTAAAAAAAGAGAATAAAAAGATTTGAAGTTGAAAAAACATTAAATAGAATATTGATCTCTTCAGTACTAATATTTGTGTTTCTTCCATTTTCAGAATTCAGTTTCAAATAAGAATAAAACAAAACAAAAGATTAGAAACAAAAAGAATGTATAAAATTCCGGGTACAGTGAGAGGATGTAGATTCCAGCTGTGAAAGCTACTGTTTTTCGCACTAGCTGCCTCTGTAAATTTACTTCTGGTTAAGTGAGTGAGAATAGCTGTTTATATCATCAAAGTAGGAGCCTGAAGAAATTTTGTTGGACTCAGCTGCCTTTAGGTACCTGGAGAGCAGTTTTTCCATATTGCTGGATTGTTTTCCTACAAGTTTGAAAGGTTTTTGAAAAGTTAGAAACAACAACAACATAAAATGATTAAGGAGCTTATGTGGTTTAAGCCTGATCTTGAGCCTTTATGGGTTGTGGCCAATGTAAACTCCACAGCTTTGGAGACTATCTGTTCATCCAAGGATTAGTCAAACCTTCATAGTAGCTGTGGCGTTTAATCATAGTCCCCTTCCCAAAACCTGAATCCAGTGATGAAGCCCAAGAAAATTACATAAGGGGCCCCTTGGAACTTATGTTTGGGTACTTAGTTTTCTATTGGGTTCTTGCAAAGGCAAGTTCTTCCATAGTTGACTCGGTCACTTGAACTGGCAATCGCTTGAGACATCCGTCCTCTCTGCTATGCAGCAGCAATAATACCCTGAGACTCTTTCCTCTATCCTGCCACTAGCTGCTCCTATTTTTATCTCCAGCTCCACCCTGTTATGTCTGTCAGAAACTCCCTGTAGCAGATTGCTAGTGCTTGGTCAAATGGTCTTTATTTTCCCTGGGACAAACTTGCTCCCTACAAGAACCAACATAAACAATAAACAAAGTGCCCAAATAAATGATTAAATGACAACTTACAGTCTTTCCTCAGACCCTGAGAAATTAATCCGGACTCTGTGCTTCCTCCCTAAGCACCACAGCCTTCTCTGTCTCCCAACTCCCTTCCCTGGGAGCTTTTAACTTCCTCTGGGCCAGGCAATCATCTGTATCAGCTGGCCTAGTCCTCCTAGGCAGACAGGCTATCCCATTCTAACCTCCTGCAGCTGGGCTGTAGTCCCTGAGCCATGCACCTGTTATACTCCCCTTGGCACTTCCCACAGCCTACTCCAAAAGCCCCCACTTTACCCCTTCTCCCAATACCCTCTAACATCAGTAGGTGCTGCCATGACATGCCATTCAGCCCACCAGAGCTTCCCAAGCTGCTCCTTCTCCTCTTTTCCTCTTTCCTCTGCTCCCTTCTCCCTCTCTCTCCCACACTCAGTACCTGTCATCTCTCTGAGATGTCTGAGCATTTTTCCTGAAGAACAGGTCTTTCTAAAAACCAAAACATAATGTGGAGATTCCTACACAAAAGTACTAGAGTGTGCATGTTTTAAAGTGGTCTCACAGATAAAATGCCTATCACAAATGCCACATTCAAAGAAATGAAAAGTGTAAGTGATTGACAGACACCTGACTGTTTCCACAACCATTATTTCTCACAAAATACACATCACAACCTGTTCTATGTCCCTGATAAGAAGAGTAGACAATTTTGG